CAGGATTCCTGCCTGTGCACCGTGCCACCCTCCCAGTTGTGCCCATCAATGAGATTTTTAGAGTCAGATAGGCTTCACAAATAAAAGAAAACTACTTTGCCAGTCCTCTGTCTGGCCCATTTGCAGCATCATTGCACAGGCAGTCATGCTGGTACAGCTGAAGGGGTAGTGTGGGAGTGGAAATACCGTAAGATTGCTGTTGCTGCCAGAAATTACTTCTCTTAGAGACAACTGCCTAAAATAGGTAGGTAGGCTGTCAGCCCTCTGACTGGCAGTATGAAGTCAGTCTCTCTCCACTGACTGTAAAGGGAGCCCAGTTTAGGCTTAGGCCTCAGACCAGGTATACACCTTACTTACAGTCTGGCCCATCTCTATAAAGCAAGGCAAGCTGCTTTAGCCAGAGGCATATTCTTGGTTTGCTTCCTCCTCTAATAAATAAACCTAATGTGCACTTGTGATGAACCTCGTGCGTGTCCTCTGCACCCCTCAGTCACTCTTAGAACACCGCAAGTCTTTGCTGTAAATCTGTTTAGCAAACAAGTAAAGTAAAGCAAAGCAAAGAAAAACCCTTCCATCAAAAGGTTGCTTCTCTGTCAGTTACGGGATTTAAGGCGTAGTTATCTCCCCAAAAGCCTCGGTATCAGGTAAGTACTCTACTTCACTGAACAGCTCTGTAACTCCCATCCCTCCTTGAGCACTTTTCCTGCATAGGCTGTTAAAGCTCAACAACAAGCTTATTTACTGGTGGATATAGCTGGAGATTTTGTACACCTGAGGTCAGAGGGGATCCACAGGTCACTTCATAATACTGCTGTGATCCAAAAATTCCATGTGCCCAAATTTTTTTTTCTTGTATGACTAACAATATCTTACATAGCATTGGGAATTAACAGCTACACTGACTGGACCCAGAAGTTTGTGATTTTGCTGAAAGACACATCTGTGGTTAAATTTTAGCTTTATACCATTGGTATAAATCTTCTCACGGCGATGGAGAGGTGGTATAAAGTTCCTGTCTGTGTTCCTGGGGACCACCTGTTTGTGTGGTGAAGCAGTAAAGAAAATGCATTCCAAAAGATGCATCTGCTTTCTTTAAATCTTACCTGTACAGTGCTCTGATTCAGGGCACTAACATTTAAACAAAATAAACACATAATTTTGACATGAGATTACATACGCGTGCACATACAGACTAACAGGTAAAATGAAACAAATGGTGGAGTGCAGCAAGTGGAGTTACAGCTGGTCAGAGATTTGCTCTGGCAAACCTGAGCATCCAGCCTCTGTAAAATACTGGATAAACTCCATCTGCATTTTGCAGGCCAAATGTTGTCTTACCAGAAATGCTTTATAGATTAACAAGAATGATGAATATTCACTAATAACATCAGAAATGGGCGCACCACAGATAAACTATCTGACTAGGTGAATGTACTTATGTTACAAGCTATATGTGCAGACACTTAGTATTTATCATGCATAGAAATTGTAAGTAGCTGGGTGATATCTCTGCTAAAATACATTCTAATTAGCTGATTAATTTTTTTAAGGTTGATGGTGCTGAAGAATCCACCAAATCAGGTGAAAATAAAGCAACCAGTAAGTTCCAGTCCATAGGAGTTCAAGTAGAGGAGGAGAAGTGGTGAGTAAACGTTAATACTGTTTTTCTAAAGTAAACAATTATGCCACAACTAATTTTTAAGAGCCCTAGTTCCTGCACGCATGACCATATAAACCTGCTTCCTGAATGAATTGTTAGATCACCCAGCTGAAAAGCCAAATCTTATAAATGCTGTAGCTCTTACTTCTCAGAGGAGAATTTTCAGGACCAGTGGGAGAACTGGAAGAAAAGTGCCATATATTTTGAAGGTCAATATACTTTTAATAAGCTCTTTTTCCCCAGAAAATCTACCTAAACAGCGGAAGGTGATGCAGCTAGATTATGTCTCGGGATGGCTGCAGCAGCATAGAGGTGATGGGGAAGTTTACCTTGTTTTTCAGTAGAATAATTTCAGCCACGTGGAGCAGTGCAGTGGCAGAGCCAAACTGATTGCTTTTGCTCAGATATCTCACCCAGACATCTCTGCATTACAACTGCTCCCTTGCAAAAAATTGTTGAGATGAAAAAGCAAGCCTGTAAAACTCGGTTCTTTCTCCAATCTGCAGTGTAACCTGAATTAGTAAACAAATATCCTCCAATAAAAATAAAAAAAAAAATCTAGAATAGTTGATGTCTTCAAGGGTTATGTTTCTTTTGGATGACAAATTCCAGTTATGTGGCGGGGCAGCATAATTGTGCATGGCACCTTCCAAACACATAAAGTTTCTGAGTGCTTGACCACATCTGCAAACCCTAATTCCTGCCCAAAGCTGGACTCAGTGGCTGAAGAGAAGCCAGACTCTTCCCTCAGCTCTGAGCGTGCAGGCCTGGCTATTTTTGCTGCAGTCTTTGTTTTTCACAAGCCATTTGGGCACAGCGTAACTTTTGGAGCCTGGAGCCATTTTGTTGATAACTCGCTGTATGGTAGCGTAGGAGAAGCTTCGGGCCATTATCTCTTGTCCGTGAGGGAAGAGTCGCCCTTGCAATCTCTCCAGAGGAAACCTGGGTGCAGCAAATCTGAGCTGGCAAAATTAGGGCCCTCTGCCCTCCTCTGGCCCGCTGACTGCAGTAGCGAGTAGAGACGTCCATTTTCACACTGTTTGTTTTCCTACGTCTTCTAAAAATACTGAAAAATAACATGTTATCTACACCATTTTCAATGCAACAAACTCTCCCCGTAAAGTAGCAGAGTATTTTCCTGTGGTTTTAAAAGGCTAAAGTGATTTCAGCAAAAAGAAATGTGATTTTGCAATGACCCTGCTAGGCTGTTACCAAGTTCCTCATTAACCTGCGAAAACATCTCTTGCTGGCAGACTTTTCTTTATGTGTTAGACCTTAGCCCCATTTACCCACAACTCTTCCAGCACTAGATAAATGAGCACATTAGAATAGATGCTGAAGGACCATTTCCCTTCAGCCTGAGCACAAAGGAAATAACTACCCCAAAAGCCCAACCCTCCCCCTCCCTTCAAAAAACAAAAAGAAAAAACCCACACTAAAAACGAAAAACAAAGAAAGAAATGGCTGTTTGTAAATACCTTACTTCCAAAGTCCTCTTTCTATTGCAGTTTTTATTGCTCTAGAGAAAAAGGTAAGATTTGCCTGTAAGGGTCTGCCCTGAAAAAGCAGTATTTCTGCCTTACCTACTGACAGCTGTGTTTGGGGGTTTCCTTGCTGATAAAGTTGAGGCTGCTGCTGTTTGGAGCAGAAGGGCAAGCAGCAATCCATCATGGACTTTCAGAAGTGAACTGGCTGATAAAGGACAGCCCCTAATCCTTAGAAAATGAGTGCACTCAAGACACAAAGGGCTTATCATCACAGTTTGGCACTCATATTCCTTCTTTTTTTTTTAACACAGCAGAGCACAATGTATTGATTATCTGTTACAGGAATAGAATTGTAAATACAGTGCATTCTTCCCTGCCCCTGCACCATGACATCTGCAGAGCCTCAGAAAAGTCCTTTTGAGTTGAATCTTTGACAAATGAATGTTTTTTAAAATCTTCCAGGTTTCAGAAATTTTAAATAAATATAAAGTAAGAAGAGAAGAATGACATAGCAAAGAGGATACAGTAAATTGATCATGTTTCCGTGCTAGTCTAAGCTATTAAGTGCACTGTTATAAAACAAGAAAGCTCTTTGCTTAATGCACCAAAAGCCTACCATACAAAATTTGTTTCACTCCTCTTCTTTGCTTCTTGCTCTTTTCTCCCCCTTTTCCTCACCTCATATGACTGTCATTCTCACACTAAGGAGTCTTACCTCCTCATGTCCTTTTAAATATTCCCGCTTCTGTGCTTGGACCAGGTAAGCAAAAGATTTTGTCTCCATTTCTTGATCTAAGTAGCTCAAAAACAGCCTCTTCGGAGGACAGCTCTATCTCTTCCATCTTCCATCTTGACTCAGACCTTTCATTAGCCCTTCACTCTCTGTAACCTGGGCTTCCTGCCAAGACAAATGACTCTAAGTCCTCCTCCTCCTCCTCCTCCTCTTGTACTGCTCAAAGGATAAATGTGCCTACCGCTACCTGACCATATTACAACTGGATCCATCACTGCTATTCATCTTATCCTCAGTTTATGCTGCCGGCTCTCAATAATCTTTTTCGCACCCATTCCCTAAGTGCAGCTCTACGATTTCTAGCATTTATATGAGTACCTCCTTCTATATGAGTACAGTCCTTCTCTTGGAAAAAAACTGGTATGCACTTCTTTCAACAGTAACCTCATGATCTTCCTGCTGTTACTGTTTTATCTCTCACCTGATCTCCCCCATGATGCTAACAAAACCCCAACCAAAATGTTCTTCCCCTTTCCTCACATGACCCACCCCTTCCAGGGCAATTTTGAAATGGGTATCTAATGAAGTTGATCAGTGCAATCTCAGGGCACTTCCATTTCTGTCCATTTCTGTTTGTCCTTTTTCTCTACCTGTGACGACTTCTTGACCTCAAGGGACCACCTTCCATTCCTCACTTACAGAAGATAATTGAGTTGTTGGAAGTCAACCAGTTCTACTGAACCAGAAAAGAAGAAGTCATATATTATGCTAGGCCAATCAGCACACATTCTTATTGAACAAGGGACTCTCAGTCCCATAGGTCTGTAATCATGTTTAGTCTTTCTTGCATTTTACCTCGTCTGCCCCAAGATCTCCTCCCATTACGTCCTCACCCCCAAAATTGTCTTGCTTATTGCTCCTAGTCTACCATCAGCTGGTAATTGTGCTTGGTTTGCCATCACAAGAATTTATGAATGCTGAAACAATGGTAGTTTCTGAAGTAAGAACACTGCCATGGGAGACTAAGACCATAGACATATGGTCCTTCTCCATTTTCTCTGGCTTCTGTGGGGCCAGGGAAGGTGCCCCCACCTCTTGGTGTGGTAAAAAAACAAAACAAAACAAAATGAAAAAAACAACCAAAAATACTCTTCTGCCTCTTCAAGGAAAAAAAACCCACATCTTTGCCTTTTGTTACTATGTAAAGCCATATTTTTCTCTTTTTTTCATTTAGGTTTTTGGGTTTGGTCACTTACTGTCCTGACAAAACATACTCGGGTTTTAGGGTCTTCCCTGAAGCCAGTCCTGTGCTCTAACTCAAACTTCTTAACTCTCCAGTCTTTAGGACAGGACCTTCAAGTCTGCATTTTGACTAAGCTGATCTGGGACTAATATTTCCTTGGCTTTTGTCTGCAGCATTTTCTGGGTATCTGTGTTCTCCACAGTGGAAGCCATTCCACTGAGAAATTCTGAAGGTGGTAGAGACCCCATCCCTGGAAACATTCAAGGTGAGGTTGGACAGGGCTCTGAGCAACCTGATCTAGTTGAAGATGTCCCTGCTCATTGCAGGGGGGTTGGACTAGATGACCTTTAAAGGTCCCTTCCAACCCAAGCCATTCTATGATTCTATGATTCTAACCTGGCTGCGAGTGACTGAGCTGGTATTCAGAAGAAGAGAGAGGCAGTTTCAAAAACAAGGCTTAATAATGTTCCCTGTTTAAAGCTAAGGGCCCTGACCTGGTCTTGTGTGCTAGGCCTCGACAAAGTGTTGCTCCCTCTTGTTCCAGCTATTCCCCCCAGTGCTGCCCAGAAAGTATCACAAGGCAAAGGTTAGAACAGGTTTATTTGAGGATGAAAGATCCCAGGAATGCTTTGATCCTCCATCTGCTGCAAAGTCTGCTGGTGAGAGACGTGCCCAGCACAGGGTGTGTATTCGCCGAGGATGGTCTCTGTAGCGTCATCTCCTCCCTGTGCTGCTGTGCTACTCACACACTGGAAAGGGCAGGGTAGATACCCTATTAATATCTGGGGGGCAGCAGGGCAGTGCAGGATGGGGAGGAAGAGCCCAAGCAGCACTTGAAGTTCCACCATGTTTCAAGGAAGATTGATGGACAGAGATTAATTGATTGATGGCTGGGAGACATGCGCAGGCCAGCTACACTAAGGCCTCGGCTTCCCACCTGCAGCATACCTGACCGCTGCCAAGGAGCTGGGCCCACACCGATAGTCTTGGGTGGGGCCAGACCCTCTCAGCACAATGGGCTCCCTTCTTCAAGCATAGCCTGGGATCAGCATTGCAGTACCCAGCTAGGTCTGCTGGAATTGGATCGACCTCCATGGGCTCCTCCTCATCTTCCAGTGGGTCGACCTCCATTGGCTCCATGCCATCCTCTGTGGTTTTGGGTGGCCAACCAAAGAGTCCCCAGACATCCTTTTTGGTTAGGCCAACCTTGTAGTTGCCCTTTGACTGCATTTGGCAGCTTTATTGGGTATTGGGACGCAGCACCCAGAGGCTGGCAATCGCTGCCTGAGGCTTCCCTGCTCCTGTCCTGCTCTGATTGCTGGCCCTGCAGGTGCGAGTAGCTCGGCAAGTGGTGGCCAGGGGCAGGGCTGCCATTTTATGGGGCGGGGGACAACGAGCAGTGAGGAGGTGGCATTTGACATCAGGACGCCATTGTCATGGCAGCCCAAGCACACGGCTGACCGTGGGTCCCTTTGGCAGAGGGGCATCTGGCCTGAAAGAGGTCCCGCCCGGGAAGAGC